AAAATTAAAAAAAAAAAAAAAAAAAAGAGAGAATAAAAAAGAGCTGGAATTGTTAGGTCTGACAGCAGTGATTAGATTTCTTTAAAGTCCCCAGAACGGTTTTAGTCTTTCCTTGTCTCTTCTCCCCAAGGTCACAGATGTACACCTCTCCCATGTAAACCTCTTGTCATGGACAAACACCTTCCCTGAGCTTCTGTGCTACCAGCAATAATTGTTTTGCTCAGTTAATTCTGCAATTACACTGTTTAATGGATTTCTTTTGGGCCCAGTCTGGACTGCCTTTTTATATCTTCTACACATGCCAATTAAGAGTTCAGGAGGAAGACAAGAGAGTGAAGAAATAAGCAAGAACAGGCCACATGAGAAAGCTTGGCAGAGGGTCATCATCAATTTGGGTCATCTGCCAGCTTGTTACTTTTTTTCTAGTCACAACTATGTAAAACAAGAATTTCTGATGAATATTGCATTCGTGCCCATAGGCAGAGGGCTGTAAAACACCTCAAGGTATCATCTAATCAGCATTACGCAGCCTGCGGTCCACAGACCTCAGGTGGGTTGTAAAGCACAGAAGGTGCTGATGAAAGGAGGCACCTGCAAACATCTGTTCTTACCTCCTGTTTTTAAAGCTTGTAACTCTAACAGTGAAACCATGATTTTATTTCTTTTTTTTTTTTTAAACAATGACATACTAAATTAAAATCTCCCTTCTGCTCTGCCATTCAGCAGCCAAGCAATAGCAGAATGTGAGGAGGGGTTGTCTCTTCTTCTTTTTTTTTTGTGTGGGTTTTTTTTCTTTTCCTTTCCCATTTTTTGCTTTGGTGGGAGCCGGGGGGAGAGCGACTGGAAGCTACTTCTGATCACTGCCGCTGTGCCTAGAGCACCATGCATGCTGCTAAAGCAGGCGTGTATTGATTTGGACTGTCGTACTTCATAGCTGAAGGGTCTTGTGGTGAATTGCTTTTTGAGTTTAACCCATCAGGAAATAATTTAAAATCATATCCATGACTGACCATTCGGTTATTTGCAATTTCCCTTTTTTCTTCCAAGTCGGGTGGCTGGAAAATAACCAAAGTGGGGGAGGCTGAGCTTGAGCTGCAAGAAACCTGCTCTGCCCATCCCTTAGCCACAGGTTTAGGGAAAGGACTTGAGCCCCACCAAGACAGCAGTGCAGCTCCCTAGTTCTTGCAAAAGTCATTAGAGATCAAGCATCAAACTCTGGTTTAATTTATCCCATATCAGGCACCGAAAGGAAAAGACAGGTTTGAAAAATTAAGTTTACTCTCCCCATGCTTTCTCTTGAGCTCTGTGGTATATGATTGCCTGGAAGTACGTGGTCAACAGTCAATGCCTGCAATATGGAAAATATAGACAAGCTTTGGCATTATTCAGCATTACAGTGCTCTTTTTGTTTTACCTTACTTTAGATGGAATTAGCTGACATAAAAGATACTTATGTAAGAAAGAAGGAAATTCCGTTTAGCTCTGAACAAAAGTGGATGGCTGTGAAATGCACACTGAAAAATCAGGTAAAGCAAACAGTGGTGTTGGCTGGTTTCGTGTTTCTAATTGTGCACCTCAACAATGGGCATGACATGGTATCTCTTTAGCAAATAATGTTTTCAGAAGTTAACTATGTCAGGAGAAAAACGGAACAAACCTCAAAATTCCCTACTTGGGTGTAATTTTAGCTTGTAAAGCTGTATTTGAATGGGAGAAGATAATACTTTTTCATATAGTGTTTTGAGCAGGAAAACAAAAGCTTTTCAGAGATAACTGACACGGGAAGAAAGGTACGATGTTTGTAAGAAAATGTTGGCCATTTTTCCCTGGCTGGGGAAAGCAGCTTGTTTTGGCTGATACTGTACTCTGGTTTAAAAACTCACCACCCTTTTCATTACCATTCTGAACACGAAAAACAGCTAGAGCAAAAATATCACATCCTATAAATAATATATGCACCTGGGCTTTTTACAAAACAGGTAAAAGAGCAAACAAAAGATCTATTTTTATCTAAGATGTAAAGCCTTATGCATTTTTAAATGTCCTTTTTTTTTTTTTGATAAAGTATATTATCTCCTTACTTTAAAGGATCAGGAAGATATTTACTTTATGAAAGGAGCATTTGAAGAAGTTATTCGATATTGTACTCTGTATAACAGCGGTGGCATCTCCTTATCGCTTACACCCCAGCAGAAAGCCTTCTACCAGCAGGAAGAAAAAAGAATGGGTTCCTCGGGTCTACGGGGTCAGTCATTGCTGTCTGTGTCCCTTAAACTCACAAGTTATCGTGTCCTAATACTTTCCTGCTCTGTTTCGGTCAGGATGGACAGAGGCTCAATCCTCAGCATCACTTGCATGATCTCTTCATAATACTTGTCGGAGTTTGCCAAGGGCCGTGTCTTAGGTCTTCTGGCTGCTTGCTTTCCACTAATCTTTTTTTTTTTTTTTTTTTTTTTTTTCTGGGATTAAATTAGTGAGATTGAAAGGAGCTGAAAATAAGCACTGGAAACGGTGAATGTTTTTCTTCCATGGAGCGTTGCGATTGCCTGGGATACGGTCTGAACGTTGCGTTGAAAACCTTCGCACTGAACCTGATCTAAACGCTGCTCTGCCAAGTTTTGCTTTTAGAGAAGCTGTTTCAAGAGCAACAAAAAGCAACTTTGAAAGGGGTTCAAAACATGGATTTGGGCACCGAGATTTTTGTTTGAAGTTTGATTCAATTCTTTATTAGGACCAAATCTAGCAATCTCCTTTTGATCCTGAGTGCATGTCAGCGCACAGCCCCCAGAAGTTTTTATACACGTGTCATTTCCTTCATCACTAGAACCACCCTCTCAGAAACATCTTAAACTTTCACACAATAACAAAACACTGTCTGCTGTGCGTGTTCCCAGGATGTAAGTAGATGAGAACAAGTCCTGGCAGCCAGGTCTGGAAGATGGTATAGTTAATGCACACGTTCGCCAGCCCTGTGTCTTGTGGTTAGTAACTCATGTATGGAGTTTGCTTTACAATATCTGGATTATCTGCCATCGTGAATGGCAAATTACTGCTCTGAAGAAAAGCGATTAGCTCAGGCAGCTGCTGCGAGCTTGTGATTCAATCATCAAAGCAACACTGACATGAACCCCTGGCAAAACATCCTCGAGTGATCTAAGAATGATTGAATGATATGGGTAGGCACCAGGAACAGAAACAAAATGTTCAGAGTCTTTACGCGATGGAAGTTTCACTGGTTTAACTGAATTTACATTTCATATTTTTAGACTAAAAAAAAAAAAAAGAAGAGTTTAAGTTTTTACAGGAGTGCTATTGTTTAACATAGTAGATTAATAGTGTCTGGTCTAACATTGCACTGTCCCAATTTAACCGATCTCTGTTTAGGCAAGACTTGGTAGACAGATTTAAATTAGACAGAAATAAGTCCTATGGGAAACAGAAATGTTCTGATTCAGTTAAACTGGTATTATTTGAGTGGACCAAATATTTGTGTCTATACAAGATCTGAATATAATGACTAAAGATCTGGGTTTAATGACTTTTTCTGCTGGAAAACTACCAAGTTTAAGATCTCCTCTAAATGTTCATTTTAATGTATGGAAACACATTATTAATAATACAGTCTTGTCTTCTTTTTTTTTCTCCCTCTGTTTCTAGTACTAGCTTTGGCGTCAGGTCCAGAGCTTGGCAAACTAACATTTTTAGGTCTGGTTGGAATAATTGATCCCCCAAGGGCTGGAGTGAGAGAAGCTGTTCAAGTCCTTTTTGAGTCTGGTGTATCAGTAAAGATGATAACTGGTGATGCCTTGGAAACTGCTGTGGCTATAGGTAGCGAACTTAGCTTCTTTCCTGTGGGTCTGTATAATGTCTGTCAGATCAGTCAAAAGTTACGTCACTTAATTATCAACTTTATCAATTTTTTTGTGTGTGCAATAGAGGTTTTAAATGCCACTGAGTTCTTGCTTTTCCATTGAAACAAACCATATTAAATGCAGCAATAGAGCAGCTATGGACTACAGGCCAAATTCCAGTAACTTGAGTCCACTATTTTAGTGCCAGAAACAGCAAAATCTCAGCGTCGGACCTTAAATGAGACACGTGGCATTGCTTGGATTATAGACTCCACTAATGTTTCGAGTGCGAGTATCTCTGCGCTTCCTATTTTTGCATTCTTCCATTAGAAATACACAGAGCAAGCAGCAGAGAGGGGAGCAACAGATTTAGTATCAGCTCCAGTTCTGGGTATTGTATAACTTCTGTAATTCCAGCTGAGGAAGGACAGGTTGAGCAGCCCAGCTCAGAGCCAGAGAGCTGTGTGCCCTGGCAGATGCCCCAGGTTTAGATATATGTCCCAGTAAAATCTTTAATTGCTGCTTCTATTTTTGAGTCAGGAAATAGTTGGCTTTTTCCAGAGCTGACGGGCAGATCTTATTTTGGGCTTTTCTTTGCAGGACAGAATATTGGTCTCTGCAATGGGAAGCTGAAAGCCATGTCTGGGGAAGAGCTGGACCAATTGGCAGAGGCAGAGCTATCATCCACTGTCAAAAATGTAATGGTTTTCATTACAAAAAACAAGGCCTTGTTCCATTTCCAATAGCAGCTATCTAATACAAGATTGTATTTTTTTGTTTTTCAGGTTTCCATTTTCTTCCGAACAAGTCCAAAGCACAAACTAAAAATCATAAAGGTATTAAGAGCCTCTCAGATCCATTGTATACCTCACAAAAACAAGATGTAAGGGATGCCCCTCAGTTCTCTAGATCACCTGGTTTTCCAAGACAGGATCAGCTCAGACTAAAGGACCATAAAAGCTAGAGCATTTGCACTATTAACACCAAAGACATTAGTATTTCTTTTGCAGAAATAGGTCTGGGTCATTTTTTTGGTCTGGGTCATTTGATAGACGCTATTGAGATATTTAGCAAGCATAATATCAAGAGAATGATTTCTGAGGACTTTACTCCCCTCTTCTAACTCCTTCTGGAGCTGTGAGATTTTCTATATTCCTGCAAATCCAGTCTCTTAATTCTTGGTCTGAGTTTTGTCCTCAGTGGGCTGCTGGGACTACTTTACCCTCAAAGTCACATAGCTCTTCTGCTCTTTCAATATTATGTCCAAATCCTGGGACTGCCAACAGGTCTTACTTATCTTCTCCTGGCTTCAGAGTCTCTCATCTCTCCACCCTCACAGGCTTTGCAGAGGGCTGGTGCTGTTGTGTCAATGACAGGAGATGGTGTTAATGATGCTGTGGCCCTTAAATCTGCCGATATCGGGATTGCAATGGGACAAGCTGGTACAGACGTCAGCAAAGAGGCTGCCAACATGATTCTTGTGGATGATGACTTCTCAACAGTAATGTAGGTTTAACGACTTTCTTACATTCAGACACTTTCTTACTTCAGATACTTTCTGGCTATCCATCGCAACAAGTCTGTTATGTGACTAGCCCTGGAATAACACAAGGCGCAGGACATGTAAGTCAACAGGCAGTAAGTGGAGATACCTAGTGTGGGTCTGGCTCATTTTCAGTTGCATACACAGCAATGACTTTTCAAGCGGTGGTGACAAAGGTACCTTTCATCCAAAAGACCTGGTTTCTCAGTGCTGAAGCTAACTGGGGATTTGAAAGCACCTAGAAGTCTGGGTAGATCATAACTTGTTCTCTCTGCCTCATCCAGGAAGCTCAGAGGAAAGACAAAATTTGCAATGCTCCTTTGGTTCATAACAAGGGACAGAGTAGAGAGAGTAGAGAGAGGATATAAATAGGTGACATGCCTGCTTTAGGAACCAAGACCTGGCTATATGAATCATAGAATAATTTGGGTTGGAAGGGACCTTTAAAGGTCATCTAGCCCAACCCTCCTGAAATGAGCAGGGTTTTCAGATCTGCTAGTCCTGATGAAATCATTTTAACTGAGAGCTGCATTGACCTCCTCCTGAGCTGAGGTCTGAATTTCAACTGAAATAAGTGCTAGAGAAGATAACTTGTATTTTGAGTGTCACAGGGAGCTGACTGTAAACTAGGGTGAGTGCTAGTTATTTAATAAACTCTCCTCTCCCTTCCAGGAATGCAATAGAAGAGGGAAAGGGAATATTTTACAACATAAAAAATTTTGTCCGGTTCCAGTTGAGCACGTAAGTTCCTGTTTGCTTTATTCCAGTGAAAGCACCTTTTGGGTGAGGCCATGCAGAATAATGTTCTTCTGTGTCTTGCAGGAGCATTTCAGCTTTGAGCCTAATTACTCTGTCAACAGTGCTTAACCTACCAAATCCACTCAATGCTATGCAGATCTTATGGATCAACATCATCATGGATGGGCCACCAGCCCAGAGGTATGGAAGAGTCAAATGAGCAAAATATTCTTGGTTTTAATATGTCTGAATTTGACTTAGGAACATAAGCTGTTAGGATTTCTTATCAATGTGACAATCACCTGGTGGTTAGATAAGACAAGTTGTACTTTTGTTCCGTCTTGGTCCCTCCAAAAGCATTTACTTCAGGTTTACTTGTGGCTTTACATATTCCTGTTTAGTGGTGGAGTCACTTAACTATTCCACTTTTTGACTAGGAGTGACCTGTTGTCCTGAGTACATCACCTCTAGTAGCCCTGCCAATCTGACTGGAAGGGAATAATGGGTACATATGGGGGTATATGCCCCAAAATCACAAGACTTAGGAACCTCATCCATCTGCTAATTACGATTACTACTTCCACAAGGTGGAAGAGATGTTGGCCACAGTCTCACAGCTAGCTCTCCCCCTGGGATGGGATACAGCTATGATGCACCATGGTAGTCTAATATATCATTTTAGCAGCTCATTACGCAAAAAAGACCTTTGGCATAGGTGTCTCAGACAACTATGGGGCCTTGTGTAACCCTGCCAGAATGCTCATGCATTTCAAAGAATTTCATCCTCCAGATCCACCCTGTTTTGTCAGAAGTACTATTTTGGGACAATCCGCACTAACTAAACACTCTGCTTCTCTTTGAGGCAGCTTGGGAGTTGAACCTGTTGATAGGGATACTATCAAACAGCCGCCCCGATGTATCACAGATACTATACTCAGCAAATCATTGATCCTGAAAATCTTCATGTCAGCTATAATTATCATCAGTGGAACCCTCTTTGTCTTCTGGAAGGAGGTGAGGAAAATCTGCAGTCGCAGCTTGTTTTCATCAGGGTGGAGAAGAGAGTGAAGGGCAAGTTCTGAAGTACATATGAAGGACGTTCTGAAGTACATCCAGTGGGGAAGGATCAGTGCGGGCAGAGGGTTGAGGAACCAGGGTCAGCTCCTAGCTCTGCTTCTGCCTTTCTGTGTTACCTCTAGTTTGGAGCTTCCTATCTAAAATGGGAAAACTATTACTTGATATGATATCAATGCTTGTACAGCATTGTTCCCTATGGAACTTTTCACCTCTAGCTTTCCATGTAAGTAGACAATGCCAAGTACATAAGTACTATGGATTGCTATTAGTAAATAGTGATTGTTACTATAACAGTTTAAGTAATTTAATTTAGAATATTCTTTACTCGAATTCCAAATCAGTTTAAGAATTTAGAACGCAGTTGATAAGACCATAAACTCAACAATTAGCAGAGAGAAATTAATGCTACCTGTAATGGTTAGAGCTAAATTTATTGCTTTGGTTTAGTATCCTTAAAATTGACTGGGGTCATTAAAGGGAATATTTAATTCATCTGTTGAATTGACACATTTTTTTTAAGGCTTAATCAACCCCTGAATTTTGACATGTGCTTTCAGAATCCAAAAAGTGGCATAACTCCTCGAACCACGACAATGACTTTTACCTGTTTCGTGTTTTTTGATCTCTTCAATGCCCTGACATGCCGCTCTCAGGTGAGATCGCTCTGTCAGCAAAACACTAACATAAACATTGGAATACTAGTATTTTGCATAGGAAGGGATTTTTTAAAAGCAGCACAATTTTTATCATCTTTATAAACAATGTTATCCATCATAGTTCAACTGTAACTACACTTTCAACTATGTAGCTCTAAGTTAGCATTCATGTAACTTCAAACAATAATGGCGTTTACATGCAAAGAAACAGTGTGACATTCAAGTACCAACAGGAGATTGGGAAATGTTACATTTCTCTTCTCTTTTTTTTTTTTTTTCTCCCCTTCTCTAGACAAAGCTGATCTTTGAAATAGGCTTTTTTCGAAACCGCATGTTCTTGTATTCTGTGCTTGGGTCATTTTTGGGACAGCTGGCTGTTATATATGTCCCTCCATTACAAAAAGTCTTCCAGACAGAGAACTTAAGAGTGGTAGGTAAGTTGCAAAATAAATATTTTTTTTTTTCAAAGCTACTTTAAAAAGGAGATGAGATTGCCACATTGTTACATGATAGCTCCCAACAGATTGCTGCCAGGGGAAACCAAACAGCTCCTCTAGCTATATACATACACGTAGCTATATACAAATAGTAGCGTTTAATGATATTATCCCAGCCTGGGTTTTGAATTTTGATTTACTGCGCATAAATACATGTAAATGCAGATGTGCCAAGATTTTTCCATGAGCTCTGCATGATGATAGTTCTCTACGTAAATCTCTAGGATCATTATGAAGTCACTCCGTTTTGAAAAAGCAGGGTAAATGTTTCCTAGCTGAAATGCGATGCATATTTTGCCATTTGAATCAGCCAGAGCAAACTCTACCATATACTGCAGTGTATTGCATCTACATTAGGCATGTTGTTAGAAGCAGGGTTCAGAGATCCCAAACAGTTAATGTAGCAGTTACCACACATCAAGTAGACTACACCAAATGACCATATGGGTATTCCTTGTCTACCGCAGTCATTTCTCTAATTCTACAGCTAGCAAAAGCATAACTAGGCCATACATCTATGGAGTTACGCCAGCACAAATGCCTGCTGCAGGAAGGCCCTTAAGTGGGGATTCCTGCCCAGCACAACAGCCAGCTGCCTGCTGCGCTCACCTCTGCTCCATTTCCTCTCGACAGACCTGCTGTTTCTCACTGGACTGGCTTCCTCAGTTTTCATTGTGTCCGAGTTCATCAAATTCTGTGAAAAACGCTGCTGCCGACCGAAGTGCACAAAGGGGTGTCGTAACTGATGCAAACTTCCTCTAAAGATATACTTGGAACGGAGCTGTGATGCTGGATAATTCAAATGCGCCGGATGCCACACATCCTTCCTGAAGATACTCAAGTGAATCTGCACCGACAGTCCTTATGCCAGTCTCTACCTAAGCTGTTTGAGCTGTCTACAGAAAAATCCGGAGCGGCTCCTGTTTTAAACCAAGATCAGGTATATTTTTTTAATGTTGATCTATATGTCAAGAATGCTGTGATAGTCCCAGATAAAACAACACAGTTTCACACCTGTACAGAAAAATCTATTGTGCATAAACTGAAATTTTATTTATTTAAATCAAAATTACTTTTATTAATAAAATCTACATTTTAAAATGTTACTGACAAGTATCTGAATGAGACTCTTGATTTAGACCCGTCCTTTTCTATTAAATTAGAAGGATAGCAAAGATCTGCCTTTACTAGCACTTCTTTTCCTACAGTCAATCTATAGTATTTCTAGATTCCCAGCTACCTAGCCTTGATTCAGCAAGACTCTCAAGGAAACTGTGGCGAGATGTCAAACAAGGAATAAAGAGTTAAAGTGCCACCTCGGGGCTGTCAGCTTTTGCCAAACACTGCAGTGAATTTTTTGGTATCTATGTGACTAATAGGAGCAAAGGAGAAGGCTGATCTGCTCAGATGCACAGTAGTGGATGGATTTAATGGGGAAGGGACTCGCTTTCACAAGCACATGAGAATAAAGATGACTCAGATAGCAGGGATGTTAAGCAGTTGGATCAACAGCTGCATAAAAGTGACTGAGAGATGTTTAGATCATAGCTAAGGTCACTGCTGACAAACACTTTCTGAACATTTTTAGATGCATGAAGTATAGATTGCTTAATCATCAGGTTCAGGAAAAAAAAAATTGAGCCTCTTCCAAGCCAATTTTTTACATTTAAAGAACACTTTTGAATAATCCCATCTGCTGGTTGGACCAGTAATTTCCTAGTAAGTAATGCTTCACTGATGCATTTGGTAAAAGTGCCATAGTGTCAGTTCTCTTCCTGCCTCAGCTTAAGACCTTCACTTCAAAGTGAAGATAAAGAGTGCCAGATACAAACTTATCATAAAGCACAATTTCAGAGGTCAAAATGCTATGCTGATCTTCACAAGATGATATTTAAACAGGATTACATTTTGGATTCAAGCCTAGAAAGAACTAGCTATACTGACACTTATTTTAAATCAAACAAAACCTGGCCACTGAAATATTTCTGATGAAGAGTAGCATTGTGTAATTCATCCTCCTCAGATATAGTCTGCAAAGGTGTCTGCTCATTATGTTTTTTTAAAAACCCTTGCAAACGGTTTCAGTTCTCAAAGTCTCTGCCTTGTAACGGAAGGAAAAGAAAGTCTAGCTACTTATTTTATGTGTAACTGCAGAAATTCAACTATGTCTCATGTCTTCCATCATCTACTCCACATAGGCACTGACTAAGCATACTAAGTGAAGAATGCCTTCGAGACTTATGGTGGCAGTTTGAGAATGTTAAAACAAAAGCCAGCATGACTGCGCTTACAGAGAGCATCATGTACTTAACTCACTGTCTATATAGCACTCCATACTTTGTACCACTTAAAATTCTTATTAAAATATAGAGAAGAAAATTATACAAAAATATCAGTGTAATTGTTTTAATGCTTACATTTTTTTTCTGTGTGTTGCAAACTTGGGAGACTATCTAGTTAAGCAGACACAAGATAAAAGGACATTAGCTCAGGCCTTGCACAGCATACTCTGTACTGGAACAGAGCATATATGCCCCAATTATTAGTTCAGGTAGCATACAAAATGCACAGTTGAGCTCTAGGATGTCTGGCTGGAGTGATTTCTTCACATTTTCCTTTCAAGGCTAAATTCATATTGATTACTAAAATGTGAAAAAAAGGATCTACTTTAAGGCACAAGTGTGGATTACTTGGAATATTTAAATATGGCTCCCTAGGAAAAACATTGGGTGGAAAAAAAAAAAACACCAAGAAAAAAACCCAACAACAAAAAGACCACATACAAGAAAACCTGAAGGGAAAGAATTTGAAGGAAGGCCACATGATCAGGAATCATAGTAACTTTGTTTTTTACTCTAAGCTGCATGGAAGATGAACTCATGCTGGGAGAAAGGGGATTTGATACAGTCCTTCTCCTAAGGAGAAGGACAATACTAATAACAAAACACAATTTGCTGAGTTAGAAATAACAGTCCCTGGTAGAAATTAGGGTCATTTTTGACAAGTTAATTAGACATAGAACTAGCAAGGTTAAACTAATAATTACTGATAGATGTGAACAGATTCAAGTAGAAAAAGCCCTGGGTACAAGAGACCTGACAAAACTGGTGTTGACTGGCAAACAGCCAACAAAAGAGAGCAAAAACCCCAACTGACTAGTTACATTTCACATTACAGGCAATTTTTTCTATAATACAGTAATGATTGTGTGGAACTAAAGTGTACAGCAGTCTTCTCTAAACATGTTAGAGATGTAACCCTGATTTTTTTTTTTTTTAATGTTTTTTGCAAGGTGTCTGCAGATACTATTCCCAGTTAACTGTGGATGCTTCTTACTTAATCCTTTTTACAGCCTGATCTTTTACTCCATTCTCAAGTGAGGCTACTAAAAGAAGGTATCTTCCCTAGAGAATTTCTGCTGGAGGTATGGCCCATTCTTAGGATAAATATGGCTGAATAAATCCCAATGGCTCTGTTCTACTAAGTTTAAAAAGCAATAGGCAAATTTCTGCAGAAATATCTTAAGTGAAATGCACTAAGGTGTAGTGTAGTATTATAAAACTGGATGCTGTATACGTAGCATTCTGGACATCTTACAGCCCATATAAAGTCACTTGTTGAAAATCTGGCTTAGAAAACATGAAATTTAATGCTTTAACTGGAGCAATGCAAATTAATAGCATCCTTCATATGCATCATGTGGTCTATTCTATGTTCACCAATGCAAGACATCATTACAATTTGCAAGCTTTGCTGACTAATTTCATTCCATGCAAATAAACATGTGTAGTCGAGGTATAAGAGCCTTAATCAATGTCTTGAATAGTCTTTATATAAATATATATGAATTCTCCAAGTCAGTTAGCAATACTGTCAATAACAACTTCTTTTGTTTGTAGTTCTGTTTGCAGACAGGATCTATCAGGAATGCTAGCAAATTCATTTTGAGCTAGAACTTAAGAGATGTGTAATGATTAATTACCTAGTTAAATTTTATGTCCTCCCTAAACCAAACTCTTCAGGCTGTATATTGTATTGGACCTAAATATTGCACAAGTACGAGGCTTAAGCTTCGTCACAGATAATTAGGTAAATGTAAGGGAAAAAAATGAGGAAAAAATATCCTGTCTAAGGAACATTAACATTCAGGAGCATAAAAAAAAGTTTTCCATGTTACTGTGATTCTTTTAGTTATCGTCATCATCCTCTTCAACAGGTTCTCGTAGACCTTCGCTCTGACGACTTTTTCCAGTCATTTCTAATAAGGCCTGAGCCTCAGGATCTATATCCAGGATACTCTTCTTACCTTTTGTCTTCAAAACAAAATAAAACATAGTCAGTTTAAAATGTCATTATGAATGAATCACTATCAGGCTACTAGAGAGAGAGATACTCAAAAGTCCACAAGTAATTTGGTGTGCAAGCTTGTCACAATGAAGCACATATGCTTTCCAAGTAAGGTGTTTATGATTCACTGGGATACATCAAATGATGTTTATTGCTGCAGTTACACAAAATAGTCATAAACTTTTCCCAAGATGACAGTGAACTATTTCAAGTTTATTCAGGTTATGAGCCAGCCAGAACATCCTGGTTAACCTGACCTCAGTTTGAAGTTCAGATGTGAACTTTTTTTTTTTAAAATAAGAGATTCAAGAACAATTCAACATTTTTTGTAAGCAATTTGTTCTGTTTCTATTTAGAGCTATGCATCGAGTGAACAGACAGGGCACATGAATTTATTATGTAAAGAAATAAAATTTAAAACAAAACCAAAAAAACCCCGCACAATACTAAGTTGTTCAGACAGTTTAGAAAGAGAATAAATTACAGGGACAGAGGAGACAGGCAAGAGGTCTCCTGCTCATTCCCAGAAATGAACCAGGTGCAGAAAGACTAGCATAAATCTATTCACATAAGTTTACTGTAAAACAATAGTAAATTTAAAGTTACTGATAAGGAAATAGTTCATAAAGAATATGAACTTTAGACTAGGCTTTACTTGTGAGCTTCCTTTGTGTTTCCTTTGTGTTTTACAAACACTGGGTTTTACTGAACTCTTCCAGGGATGTTCCTCCTGGAGACCATTCCTCAGTATCAGAAAGGCCTTTTGAAATTCAATATAAAGTACAGCTCTTCTGACTCCATCATTTCATGACTCCTGATGTTATTTCTTGTTGGCACCCTCAATAATTCCACTACTGTTTTGTCATTTACTTGCTACAAAATATATGGCATCACAGGGCCAGTTAAAGAGACAATGGAGACAAAGTGTTTAAACAGAAAACTGCAAGTTTTGTATTTGTATTTCCTTTTCCAGTCAGGACACAATTTCACAGGTTCACCTACCCCTGCATTTTCAGGGAGGTCTCCCACTGCCCAAACTTCCATGGCATCCAGTGTAAAATCCTCTTTAGCTGACAGCTGGGGACTGTGGTAGGTGGTACATCGAGGTTTTGCTTTACTGTGTCCCTTCCCATAGTCACTGTCTATCCAGAGTCCAAAGTAGTCGTGTTGTCCACCCATACCCTGTGAACCAAAGCAGCACACTGAACACTTGCTGTGCGTGTAAAACAGACTGGGTAAGCTATGAAACCTAGAGTATAAATTGCTGTTTTCAGTATTTATGCCACAATTCTATGGGTAGATGAAAAAGGATATTCTGGGCTTCTGTACTCAAATCCAGTATTCCTGAAGACTAATACCTGAGTGATACTGCCCTCCCTCTACACTTTACAGAATACCAGTATCTGCAAGCACTGCAGCTGCATATTGTTCCAGAAATTTAGCTCACTGGCTTTTGTTTATTGACTAACAGTTCCATCTTAAATAGGGTGAAAGTGCTTGGGTTTTCTTCATCTCTTCTCTTTAGAAAAGTATCTACAGAAACAAATAACGTAATCTCATGTTGTTTGCTTTCCTTAAAGCAAATTTACTCCAGACTGCTGCAATTCCCAAAGTTATGGGCACATAACACCACAAAACTGTAAAGCACTTTTCAAAACAGGCAATGTGTTGTAGCTCTGTAGAAGCTCCTCTGCATCTGGAGAGCTCATTCATGGGCTTGACTAAAAGGAGCTTCTGCCACTGTAATTACACAGAAGCAGCCTACCTGTGCAACTCTTGTACTCTAATTCTGTTGGGCTTTCTCAGCCTTCCATAATTCAAAAAGCAGTTAGGGTGGCAGTGAGAACAGCTAGTTCTCAGTTACATGGATCAGCTAGCTCGTGCTGCTGCAATGATGTGGATAGATGCAGTCAGTTCTTCCAGACAACAGGGAGAACTGCTAGAAGGGCTTGCATGATAACCAAACTTGGCAGAAAGATTTCCTCCCAGAACCTCCATAAATCTAACCTACATAAAGGCTACCTCCTGGGGTCAGACACCGATAAATTCCATCTTAGTTGATTCAGTACTTCAATATACAAATCAACTATGAAGAAAAGTATAGACTCTATCAGCACTGTAAGCAGTTCTTCATTGTTATCCATAGTTCAGACTTTACACTGATGCTTAAACGCAAAAAGAAAAAAAAAAATCCTCCTACCAAAAGTGTGGCACAAATAGCACAAAGAAGGGATGAAAACTTCCTCAGGGAATAACAAGTGAAATAAATTTGCTCACAGTAACAGAAGCAAAAAATATGAAATGCTTCCGAGCACCAGCCACGAATCTAATTTACAAATTGTCGTTTCTTAATACTCACAAGTCCATTTGGCATTGTTTGTTGGCCATGGTTCAAATACATATAGTGGTCATTATACCCTGTGTATGTGTATACAGCAAGAGAGGGGAAAACAGAAAACAGAAAGCATCTGTTGTCACCTGTAAACAGAAAAGCATCTGAGGTCAGACAACTAGCCAAACAATAATTGCCTACAAATAGGATAGGAAAAAAATATTGAAGAAGTGCAGCTGAATAGATCAAAGACAGCAGCTGCAAATCTCAGACAGCCAATACCTATCTCTAATCAAGATCTAGACCTATTGTTTATTCTCAGTTATTCTCAGTACAGGGTCACAGAAATCAATGTGATTCTATGGCTGTGACCAAGGGCAGAGTCAGAGGCATGATCAGTACATCACATTACCATGTCAGGATACACCTATCACAGGCTTGCATTGTAGCATCTAAAACTGGCCAACCGCTAGACCTGTACAAACTGATATGAGTGCAGACACCCTTAGTTCTGACTATATAGCTATACAGATAAGTTTAGGGTCAATGATTTAGAGTACGATTTTCATTATGGCCAGTTAGGTATTCAGAGGGACCTGTGGTGTGATTGTTTAGTACCGTACATGTGTTACTCTATCAGGAAAACATACAAGGAAAGTGTTGGGTGATCAATGTAACATAATATTACATTAACTGGCTGAAGTGGTAATTATCAAATACTAATTAAGTATAGGAATTGAGTTTTTAATGTAGCAAAAGTGAGGATTCCTAGCAGGACAGATTATCCAGAGTCTCTAATTTTTTTTTTTTTCAGAAAGCCATCATATAAGTTCTCTCCAACAAGTTACCAAAAACCACTCTCTTCTCCCCAAAGTTTTCAGGGGAACAAAAACTTTAGCTTGTCCAAAAGACCCTTTTGCTGCTGGATTTTAAAAGGGAAACAAAGAGCACAAATGGCAACAGGAGGCTTAACCTGGTGTTTGGCTCAGCTGTTCTGAGATGGAAGATTGCCATCTGCTGGACATCTTATTCAAACTCTAATTCATGAGATGCTGTATTTCCTTGATTTTCATTTCATTTTCAACCTGTGCAGCTACAGGGGGTGATAGATTCCACTGAAAAGAAAACATGTTCCATGACCAAGAAGTCCTGCAATTTTAAAAGTCTTATCGAATAACAGGCAAACTACAAACATTAATCAGTAATATGCCTGACTGGGTACAAAGCAGGAATAACTTAGCATGTATTTTATATTTTTAAAAAAGTAGTGTTATTTTTGCCACAGGAGAATACACTTGGAAGTACAAGAAATACCGCATTTCATGAAAGTAAAATGGTAGTATCCATTAAGTGGACAGGATTCTTGTACCTGTACAGAATAGGCAATGTTTACCAGAGCCATGAAATAGTAGAAAAAGAAAAGTGAGTTTTACCTTGAAACTGTGGCTTCACCTCCCAGGAGTGAGATGCAAACCCACCAAAGATATAACCATCTAAGTCCTTTAAGATCACTATGCAAGGACCTTTGTTCACTATATGCCCGCATAACTGTGAAAAGCTTTCTCCGTGAAGTCGAGAAGAAAATAAAAGGTGCCACTTGTGCTGTAGCTCTGCAGGCAGATGGGAGTTGATGTATATGATGGATGGGATGTCAAAGAGACTGACAAGTCCTCTTCCTTTGATGCCTTTGCAACCTGGAACCAGGTTGAGTATGTCTTTGGTTTGGTCTGGCAGAGAATGCAGAACATGGAGGCCTTGCCTGATAACAACACTGAGGAAAATTGAGATCTGTGGAACTCGGTACACCCAATCCTCAATGACACTTTGATCAAAATTTGTCTCCATCACCTGAGGACCCACAGGTTTTGTCCCATCTAAATAAGACAACACACAGGAACACTAGTAAGTCTCCCAGTCTGGAAAAATATTCCATTGACTTTTAAGAGTAAACACAATACTCAATTATTTTAATGGAGATAAAGCCATACAGTACAGTGTCAACTACATTAAGCAGATGCACCCACAGAACTGAGAAACATTTTCCTGTGACATCCATTGGCTGAACTGTCACATTAAGAAACACGGACTCCTAGTTACAACTTCTGAGAAGTTCTCTGCAAGACAGCAAAATCTGTTATAACAACAGTGCAAAGATAAACCTGTGCTTTGTAAAAGGACACAGTCATAAATATATGCACATGCATCTAAACGCTCATCACCTGCAAGTCAGGTATTTGTAAAATAGACATATTCCATGACAAATAGATGTCCACTGAAACTGGGACTTCAAACAAAAGCTCTCCTGAATTTAGGGGAGAAAGATGGTAAAATAAATAAAATTCCCAAGTCATCTGCAAAGTGCTAGGTTTGAAATGCTGGTCTCACCATTTAAATTCAAAGACATGACCTGAAGAGAAAAATTCTTGTGAGATCAGCGATTACATGAGTTCTGTGCCACACTACATCAGTTCTGCTTACCTGCCAGCTTCAATTCTGATAGCAGCTGAGAAGCCAGAGCCTTTACTCCACTTGCAGAATCCCTAGTATTCTCCCAATTCCAGCCTTTCAGTTCGTTCCTGTAGCTCAGTACATGGACTACAGACATGATCAGATCCTCTGTGAACTTAAAAGGTTAAAACATCACCATTTTGGCATTTCTTAAATAAAATTGCCAAGAGCTTCAAAGGACTTACTTTCTGAAAATAAAGTCAAGTAGTACTGAAGCTGTAATCCCAATGGCAGAAATATCTTTTCTCATGAAGAGTCAGAAATAACAGAGGTGTTATTTCAGTGTTGTAAATCTTGAAAAGCATCTTCTTTCAAGACATTTTGTAAATGTTATTTCACAAAACATCTCCATAAAATACGGCATGAAAGAGAGAGGGAAGGTCCAAATTTTGCAATGGTAGGAGCTGCTAGTGAATTACTGTTTTGTGAGCTCCCACTCTTCCACCTTGCAAGCTATGTATTTGATTCACACATCTGTCCTGCTACTAAAGCTCTAGAAAGTATTTTGCTCAGTTCCCAGAAGCACCAGCCACACCACAACCCTCACTGGCTCTTACATATAGCCAGTCTCTGCACCCTTCAGAGCGAGCCTGTGAACCATAAGGCAAAACAGTCAATGCGCTCTGTAAAATCCAAACCTTGGTTCTCAAAGTAGGTGAGTCAGCATGGAAAAGCCCACAGCTGAAACGGTCATCCCATATAACCTGTTCTCTTCCTGTTCCCCCACCACACATTTAACTGCCTGTTTACCTCTTGGATTTGTTTGCCCTTCACAGGCCCTTCTGTCTTGGAGATCATTCTCATTATTATGGTAATCTTCTCATCTGCATTCCCTTTTAAGAGGTTTGACATAAAAATCACAAACTGCTCCTTAGCAATCTGTTCACTCAGCCCAGATGATTTCCCAGTCAGGTCAATACTTTTCATTCCGTTGTATAACCGAACAGTCATTTGCTCTGGTAATGGCTCCCGTGTATATGCCTGTAATGAGGAAAAAAACCCAAAGAACATACTTTAAAAATGAAGAATAACTAATATTTTCCAGCTAATCTGTGCTGAGATATACCGTTATGAATGAAGGATTTCAATACCAAGTATCTACTATCAGCAACAAACCTTTGTCAAAGGACTGATTTTCCAAGAGGAAAAAAAATAAATCTGTTTTTATAGTATCTATCTCCTTTCCAACACAATTTAGTAATTTAAGGTGATACTGTTTTCCTACAAATGCCATGGACTTAGAAAAACCAACACTGTAAAGTGTTAACAGGATATTAGCAAAGGATTTCTTTATGATAACTCTGTTGTAAAGTTTTAAACTCTGACAATCCAACATTTAAAACTGTGTTTTAAACCTGCTTTTGATAGGGGAAGCTCACAGATACTTAAAACCAAAGAGAAAGTAAAGTTTTTTCCATATCTCAGTTTTGGCCTCAAGACAATGCAAGCAATGTGTTTAACCCTACATGCACACGTGGAAACAATTTTGAGAAGTTTCTCTCTGCATAGCAACATCTAATTCAAGCATGGAACAAAACTGAGATTATCTGACTTTTATAAGGCATCCCTGATGTTAAGATAGTTGAAAATAAAACTTATTCATCTAAATTGCATGACTGGCCCTTTGAATTGAAATCTAACCGGTATATATCATCACACATCACAACGCTGTGGCAAGATCTGACTCTGGATTCAAGAAACTTTCACAGTGTTCAAGATAATTACACAGTTTAAAAATAAATCATCTAAAATACATCCATACACTAGGGCATGATTACAGTGTCTCCACTGTGCAAAGCACATGTTGAACACCTGATTTGACTTTCATACGCAAGGGGGCTATTCTGAAATCAATAGAGCTCCACCTGTGTAAAAGCACTCCAGCTCTACCCAATGGAGCTGCTATTACCAATCCATTGCTGGCTTAATACCATTCCTATTGAAGGCACCAGGGCCTTTCCTATTTGATGTTAATGGCTGTTGCTGTGCATATAGGGTGAGATCCAATACGCCAAGCTCTACCCTGCTTTTGTTGATGTCAGCGGTAAAACTCCCATTGATTTCAGCAGAAGCAGAATTAACAGCCACAGTCTTGCACATTAGAGCACTTCATATGGAGGGAGGGATGGTTACGGGGAGTACAGCCTCTTTAAGAGGCTTTCTAAAAGTGCTACATGAGCCTGAAGTGAGACATGCAGCAGGGAACATGATTAAAAACACCACACTCAAGGGCTTTTTACTTCACACTGCAGTATTACCACCTACTCCCTACCCTTTCCCACCCACCACTGACTTTGTTGCACTGTTTTGTTATGCTTATAGCTATTCCAATGAGTAGACCTGGGGTGGGGGCACGGGGGAGGACTGTAAAAAGCGAAGCTTTAATAAACATCTAACAAACTCACACCTCTGACAGTTTAGAATCCTCGTCTTAAACATCTTCAAGAAAGTATCTAGAGATACCTGCTCTACCTGCTTTCCAAGCTATGCAGTACAGCCTGCTAGGGTACAGAAGCCACGTAGTTTCCTTCTAGTAAAGCACTGAGCCTAAGCAGAGTACCTAAGGTTATGCTTGGGGCCCCATGAACGTTATCAGGCTGTTGCTAGATCAAATCTGCCACGCATCAATCTAGCTCAGGGAAGAGCACAGACACCTACAAGGCAGGCATGCCATTGCAAAAGTCCCTGCGCTAAGGTATTAGGCACCTACAGGCAGTCTTTCAAAACATTTAAATTTAAGTTGGCAAATGAAAAGGCACAAAGGGAAAAGACAAACGTTCATCAAATGTCACATTGACCCAGGGGCAAAGCTAGAAAGAGAACTTCTTTGAGGTCCCAGTCAAATATAACAGACACCAAGGACCAGGTTCTTGGTCATATTAGGGTTGAAAGGCTGGGCAGCAGCACCACTTCTTCCAAACTGGTAATAGCTCATAAGCAGCCAGGCTGGAGAAAGGCTAAAGGTGGTCTGTATGCAGATGCGTTGCTAAATGCCTTAAAATACCCTGCTGCTTTCATGGAGTTTTACTTTGATTCCATTAACTGCGTAGCATATATAAAAATGCACTTTTAATACTGCATTCATTTGGCCACTTGGTTCCTGCCTAACTGAAGTTATCAAGTAATGCAGCAAATCATTTTTCTCTTCCTTCTTGATTAGAAAATGAATGCAAAGTTAATCAGAAAATGTAATGTATGTTAATTAGTTAAACCAGGGAGCCACAGCTTAATCAAGCAAAATTGGATTCTCTGCTTTTAATGCAAGTGAAAAGATTAGAGACGGTGATGCAATTGAGGGAGAAAGATATAATGAAATACAAACTGACTTTGTGACAGCTTCTCAAGAAAACCTGTAAATAATCAGACACTATAGACTCCAGGTGAAAGAATATTATTCCCATTTTTCAGGTTTCTGTAAAGATATTTTCATATGTCTCTTCAGAATCAGGAAAGCTGCAGATTGACCCAACAGTGCAATTTAAGAGATAAATACAAAGCTGAAAGTCACTATTCACATTAAACTGTAAGAAAAAGGTAATTATCCACCCTGCCCCAAAACGTTAACTGTTAAATTGAGACAGGCAATCCTTAAAAAGTAACTAGTTGTTACAAGTCTTTTGTTTCCTTCTGGAATTATGTTCAATGCACTACATCCCAGACATATCAAGAATAATAGATTGTCTTGCCTGTAGTGCTGCTAGAGTCACAGTTTTCTTTGTAGCTTTGCCATTTTTTGCTCCAGCTGAGCCACTCGATCCTGATAAGGCATCAAATACTCCATCAATGTCAGACTGCTCCTCAGGAAGAAATCTGGAAAGGTGATTCCGATAGGCATTGCTTTCTGCATTTCCCATTTTTTCAACCTGAAGGAAAAGGAATTAAAAAAAAAACCCAGTATTCAGAGAAAGGTATCACAATGACCATGAAAGACTTATCAAACAGACTAACTTACCAGCACAAGTTTTAGAAGAGAAGCAAGTTACTATCCTTCCAGGAAACTATTATTAAAAGTATTGTTTGGTCTCTGTTATCACTGAGACTTAATGAACTTGAAGAACATCCGTCAACAGTAACCGTGCTTTAAAAAAATGACAATCCGTCAGCTCTTTGCTAAGACCACCCTGCCTACCAATTCAAACCTCATTCAAGTCTTACCAAATGGAAAAACCAATACGATTTAATGATTAAATTAGCTTGTACAAAGTGACCATGAGTCTGTCAGCTGGAATACATCAGTAACATGAAGAGAATAGCCTGATTATGGATTATTTATGACAGATTATGCTACATCTTTCTGATGCATCAACGGACTGAAGCTGTCTGCCAATAATATGTGGCACTAAAACTCCATCACCATGAAGATGACATGACTGTTTTTTCTAAGGACGCAATACAAAAATCATTCAAAAAGCTGCCGAGAAACACAGTAACAAAAACATTTAGTAAGATGACTCAAAACCCATCAAAAGCATACAGCTTCATATGAAGTGAATAAATTGAGAGCTGGTACCCACAGAATTAACGTTGGCGGGGGGGGGGGGGGGGGGAAGGTGTTGGTTTGGGGTTTTTTTGTTTGTTTTACATATCTAATGGTACAACTATGATTTCTCTCACCATCTCAGGATTAACCTGCACTATGGAGACTAATTCGGGGGGGGTGTGTGTGTGTGTGTGTGTGTGTTTAGTGCTGTTGGGCTACATGCTCTGGCTTTTTCCCTGGAGCAGCACAGCACAGACCTAACAGTGCCACTGTAGGGCCTGAAATCCACCATGATCGTAATGACAGCCACCCCTGTAACGGCCTTCCCATCCACCCAGGGCAGACACGTTCCTGGGGTGACAGTATAAAAAAAAAGATGAGAAGCAGAATAAAACACCCTTTTGTGGTTTTCTTCCCAGAAATTCCACATCCTTTCTGGCACCTCACTTTTGGTTTGGGAATCCCAGTTCCACAGAAATCTCTTTTGCAGACAAGCTCATCACACAGCCCTTGAGCAGCCTCAGAAGGACTCCTTGTTTAGCCTAATCTGATCTTTCTGTCATTAACTGTCGCTGACTTTGATAAACAACATAAGAGGCTGGGTTGGGCTGCTTTACCTTCACTGAGCAGTACAGGCCCACAAGCCTTGTTTCCCTGTGAGGAAGATGTTGACCATGGGGTAAACACCAAAGGGTTAATGGCAGCGGCTGTAATCTGGAAGACAAACCGTGAAGACGTTACTAA